CTTCATGACCAAATCTCAATTTTCAACTATCTGTGCTTAAAATCTACCAGGTCTGGCTCAACACTCAAGCGTAGCATCGCCGCTTAAGATCATATTGGCGTGTGTAACAGCAGGTTGGCTGCGAGTTTGTGGAAGAAATCGGTACCTGATGGCTTGAGAGTTCACTGCCTATGGTGTAGCGCTAAAGTCCACTCTGAAACTCCACAGATATTCTTATCAATAATAACACATGGAATGAAGACGAGAACCAAAACCTGTGGAGGCTATTTGTTTGTCTCCCTTATTTTTTTTTTTCGAAGTATGAACATTCATTCAAGTAGGAACATAGACTGTAGTTGAGTGTTGATGTGTCTGCATTGGAATTTCATATGGACACTTCCACATATGTGCATCATATATGGTCTGAAACGCTTATATTGCTGCACTTCTCGAAAAAAACCGCCTCTAAAATCCATGTTCTGCATCATTTTGGTGTTAATTGGTTAATAACGTAGTAACGGAGTTGACGTCCTTTAATTTGTGAAAGTGCAGATCTACCAGGAGGAGAAGTCGAGAAGTCAATTTCTGGTAATAGTGAGGGAGGAGGGGTGGGGAAGGGAAAGAAATTCACAATAAAGTCCTTTTAAAAAGGCACGAAACAAGGAAACTGTTACCTGACTCATTGAGAGTTTACAAAGGGATCTAATGAGGCCATGTAGTTTTATTATAGAAACTAAGTGATCGGAGGGATTTTCTTGGAATATGGAAATCAAAATTGCTATGGTGGCATCCCGTGTCTTCTTGCAGAGAAGAAATGGATGCATAACACCGAAGTTGAATATGCACCATTGACTTGCAGAAGGGCCGGAGCTTAATGACTATTTTGTACATCGAAAGTACAGAGGCAGAAACTTGAGTGCTAGTTTAAAGAAAACGAAGGCTTAAACAAAATAGTCAGTATGTTACACACCTCCTGCATACTATGGTCAAAAGTTCAATCGGCTATGACGACAACCGCGCCACCATCGAGACTGCGTGGAACTAAGCAGCTGCTTAGCTGCAAAGTCAGATCGCCAGATCTGGAGTTTTTTCATGTTCAAGAATTGTATTTGGTGGGTAGAGGAAGGTGCTGGACATTAAAAATGTCCGCTTTGAGTTGCATGAACAATGGCCCACAGTAGAACCTCTTAGCAAAATTTTGCCTTTGAAATGATTCCGTAGGAATTAGATAGTACATTTGCCTCGTCTTGCTATCTTGTCCACCCATATCTCTGTGAGTACTATGTAGCTAGTTGGGAGAGATAGGAGACATCATATGTTTGCTTCATTATCACCTTCATGCAGGCACTGTATGTCGTTATAGATGTTTGATATTTGTGGATAGTGTCACTTCATTTGTTAGTGGCATTTTTGGACAACATGAGTCTGGGGTAGCTGCTACAAGTGGGCTCCACTTTCAACTCTTCTGTTAGGATCGTCACCAATTCCTCTCATCCATGGCATATGCTCTTTCCCTGCCATACAAGGGTGACCGCGTTGCCTGGCAGAAATAGGTGTATGATATGATTTGTATTTGCTTTCTTCTAGTTGAATATTCAGCGGGATTACCCCACATTAGGAAAGGCGCTTTGCTACAGGCAGTACCTATTGGAGCTTATGGTTAAGTATTTGGGGAATATAATGTTCGGATTCAGTTTTTT